ACAAGTATTTTGTGTTCTCGTCGATTCATCCCTGTTTATAATGAAAATGGTTTTATAAATTGAAACTTTTAATTTGAGCCTTAAATTAGTAATATTACGATATGAGTTCGTTACTTAACGACATTTTACATGAAAAAAAATCTCAAGCCTACGAATATTTTACAACCCTTTGAATGTCTGTTTTACGACACGACTTGGGTTACAATTTAGCACATTTTTAAAAAATGCATTTGTTTGGCATTCTGTCGCTTTATTCTCACAGTGTTATCAAAAATAAATGGTCACGGTTTTCAAGACCACATTTCGGTACGAAAGGTCCCTTTTTTCTTCCCTTTGTTATTTTGCATTTCGCCACCGCTTGGCAGCCCTCGGCAGTCACCAGTGATGTGGGCTGTGAAACTCTTCGACATCCCACCAACACCAAACGCGTCTGTGTTTCAGCCTGGGCCTGAGCAGGGCACACTTTGAGAAGCAGCCCCCGAGCAACCTGCGCAAGTCAAACTTCTTCCATTTCGTCATCGCCTTGTACGACCGAACCGGCCAGCCCGTCGAGATAGAGAGGACAGCCTTCGTTGGATTCATAGAGAAGGAACACATGGTAAGCCAAAACAAAGACTGGGTGTTCTGAATGACAATATCAAATATCAACGTCAATATTCTTTAAATTAGATGAAATGGGTATCCAAAATGTGTGAAACATTCGGTGTGTCACACTAAAAATTATTTGACAACATCGGCCGATTCAATTTTACGCAGGTCACGAAACTATTCGCGGTTCAGATTGCCAGACAGGACAGGAATAGCACTTTACTCTCGATCGTAAGAAGTTCATAAACGCTAAGAAAAACGAATGGGGAATGGGGTATCGGTACGTAGGGGGACCAGCTGGTTATGATCACCCCACTGCCGCCCCAAGGGCAGCCACCACTCTCCCCCTCCCCCTCTCCCCGTGCAGTAGCGCAAACATGCTTTTTTCGAGGGCAGCAGGCCTGGTGGAAGCTCGGTCCGGCCTGCCCCTTCAGTTTGCTGAAACAATATCAATTTGTGCTTATCAAGGCAGCGAGGGCCGCGAGTTGAATAGGGAGCATTATGGTAGGGCGAGGGGAGGGGCTCAGACGGGCCAATGTCAGGTGGCAGGGCGGCTCGGACATCCTGTTTGCCGAGTCAACACCAGTCGTATGCCAATATACTAGCCACCGGGTTGCACGCGGCCGCCCAGGGCACGCGACCGAGCAAGAACACGCACCGCACCAGCAAAGCGGCGAGCACGGGGAATGACCAGAATTCAGAAAAACGCCGTTAAAAGTAAAATTAAAAATAATTTTTAATCCTTTTTATTTAAAACAAGAGCTCGCTCACGCACTTGGCTAAATTAGTTCAAGTTAGTCAAGTTCAAGTGTACATAATGCGATGGGTACAGATAGTTTGATAGTTATGGCAACATTATAGGCAGATAGAGTGATTTGTTTGGTAGTAAAGTAAAGTGTTTACTTATGTTTTCGCTTTTCTCTCTTATTTTGCAGGAGGCAGATGGACAAAAGACAAACAATGGAATTCAATATAGGTTACAATTATTATACTCAAACGGTAAGTTGAGAGTGAATTTGTGCCCATTCTGTGGCGTCTTGTAATTAGCTTCGGGCATTCCCCTGTGTATGTATATAACATTTCGGTGTCTCTTCTCTCTCCAGGAATTAGGCAAGAACAGGATATCTACGTTAGACTGATCGACTCGGCCAACAAGCAGGTGAGTGACCCATCCCGTCCAAAACAAAGGCGTTTGTGGTGCAGTGTGTGTAAGTTTAGCGCCGCGCGGCTCGAGGTATTTTATAATGGGGTTACTGACTGCCGTATCTCAGGAGGGTGAAGGTTGTGTGTACACAACGGAGGAAGGGAGCGCTTCAGAGGCACACCACTCGTAAAAAAGAGGATAATGCGAGGTGTGAATACTCATAAGCCACGCAATGATCGCATGAAAAGTACGGGACGTTGAAAAGTAGATATTGATAATACATACGCAAACACTTAAAAGTATTCAACTAGCAGTTGCACATTTACAAGTCTTTAGCACTTGCACACTTGGTTTAACAGTACAGAGAGAATGAACGTGGAAAACAATTTTCCATACAAACAGCTTCTAAACAATTTTGAATCATGTCAGAGAACGAACTAGTTCGTCGCGTGCGAACTGCACCCGACTATACCTTCGCAGTACGAACGATTCTGACAGCTGGTCAAGAATTTCCTTGGCAATTCGAGCTTATTTTGTGCAATACAATGCATCGTCGGTTCTTCGCGACGAGGCATATTTCACAGTGCACCCTGCACGCCCCGCACGCACTCGTACGCGCGGGGTGCCGCGGCTTCTCCCATTGGTCCGCGTGACGCCATGGCCGCCCGCGCGGCGAGGCGCGACCCCTCGGCTCAGAGCTCTGCTCGGCCCCTATGCTATTTCAGCCCAGGCCGCTGCGCTGGGCTGGGGCCGGCCCAAGGAACGGTGGGGCGCGGCGGGGCGGAGGGATGGCCGTCGCCATGGCAACGCCACGCGACGCCACGCGACGCCACCCCACAGCGCCGGGCCCAACCGCCAACCGCCAGGCCGAGCAACACAAGAGTTTGCCCCGATGTTGTGTGGAGGATGCATCCTACACATGAGTAGGCTCCGACCTACTCGGTGCATTTTCGTGACAACGGGGCTAGTTTTCTCTCTATACTCGGTTGTTGAATTCAACACTTTCGTGTTGTCTTCGTTTTGCGCTAAACACGCACCTAAGAAAAGGGGTTGCCATTGTCTGCTTTAGAAAAAGACTGCGTTGCTTCATCATAATGTATGCTCCACACTGCGGATGAGCTACCTGCCGAATGCTCGACTTAGTATGCTGGAATGAAATTCACTAGTTTAAATTTTCATTGAATAATTATAAACCGTTTGAAGTACGTACACAAAGTCGGTGACATTTGTAGCTGCTAATTTCATAATTTAACGGGTTGAGTCCCAGAGGGGGGGTCCCCCTTTACATGCTATTGTGGCCATACGTGTATGGTCATGCGGCACTCAACGTGTTCAAAACTGGTATAATTTACAGAGAAAATTTTTGAATCATTGAAAATAGAGCTCCACTTCTCTCTCTCTCTCTCTCTCTCTCTCTCTCTCTCTCTCTCTCTCTCTCTCTCTCTCCTTTGACTACTAATTGACAACAGAATGCACGTGCACGCTGATCCTCGCCACGCCCCGCCACGCCCCACGACAAATTGCATGCAACCAGAGCCGCCCGCCGGCGTGGCCTGGCACAGCGCACGCCGCACACGATGACTTCCACGTCATCATCGTCGTATCTCGTAGATATGATGTTTCCTTCCAATCTCTTGGGTGTAGTTAGATTGTCCGGCCTACTTTTCTCCGACCTGGTAATTTTCCCAAAATCCCCAAAAGTGGGATCGGCCGGGACTTGTCCGCTGTATCGCTCTTTTAGCGACTGCACACCTCTCTCCCGGTTCGGTGGTGGCGCCAAACGTCCGGGTGCAGGGCGACACTTTGGGTCCATGCTGACCCAGCCGACCTCTCACCAAAGTAACCCATAAAAGTTATCCCTGGACCTGCACCCGGAC